ACAAAAACATGGCGGCCATTGATAATGATGCTAATGAGAAATCTCTTCCAACATGGCCGCGATGACGTAACGTGCAATCGAAGGATTGGTAAGTAAACTATAGTATATAACACTGTGTCAGACTCTAGCGACGAACAAGCGGCTCGAAAATTACTAGAAGGGGAAAATTAATTTCCTTTTTTTGTTACAGAGCAAACAGAGGACTTTAGAGTTTGTTATAGAAGGGCGCCATTTCTTTTGTTCTAAACCGGTTTACCATAGTTTACACCGGTTTTTATATTAAAGTGTATCCTCAAACGTAGTTACTCTCGTTTTTGAGGACCGTTCTATTTTTAGGCGCGGGATTAGTTATGTCAAGAAAGTGCCAGATATCTCGTGTCGGATATGATTTAGTCACGTCTTCAGTATGTGTCAGATATAAATTCGGGGGAAGTCAAGAGGCCGCAAATATAAGTTAGCGTTTTTTGCCTTAATTTAGCTAGGAATTTCGTATTTGAGCTCTATACATTTTCATTTACCTTTTAGTATGTCGTATATATTTTCAATCCTGTATAGAAATCATAGCACGTGTTGGAAATACAAGGTTTTCACGTACTCAAGTAATAGATCAAAGTATCTAATGTATCTAAGCGTATACGCGTGACCCTAAAAGAAGCATATCATTGGACAATAAGGTCATGAATTATTAATGCGTTTGAGAATCATACGCCCAAAATGACCTGTTTTGTATCCTTTATGAATAATTCATATTTTTTCAAAAGGTATGAAAATGACCCAAAATCCATCAAAACCATGGGCTATAGTCTATGCTTTTTGCCACAAAATGGCCCAAAATGACCTGTTTTGTATCCTTTATGAATAAATCATATTTTTTCAAAAGGTGTGAAAACAACAAACAAACGACAATAAAAAACAACAAACAAACAAACAAATAAACAAGCAAACAACCAACCAACCAACAGACAAACAAGGACAAAAACAGACGAGGTGTTTCTCCTCCTAAGCCTTTACACCCATCGTGTGGTGTAGGCCATCAACAACATCAGAATGTCATAATACATCATAACTCCACCATGGCCGGTCCCAAGCCCGGATGAGAATGGGCGCCGAAGGGCTAGCAACCCTTCCCTGTAATAACCAAAAAATGCTACAGAAACAGCAGCAACAGAGACGAGGTGTTGATAGTTAACAATATCATGCGAAAAATGAATTCGATTGATAATATATTTTCATCATGATCTGAAATGAATCTAAAATGACAGAAATGTAGGAAAGCTTACACATATTACATTTAGCATGCCATGCTCGATCGATAATAGTGATTGACTAAATCTTCTCGGCCAATAGAGGCTTTGCACTATCACGTGATGGTAGCCATGACAGGAGGCACAACAATAGAGTCTTTTTCCCCTGAAGAACTGAAGAACCGTATGGAACTCGAATTCCATACGCCGCCTCAGCTCACCTTGAAATTGAATTTTTATTATTTTTTAAATGTCTGATGTGGTTTCGTGTACGATTGCGTTATGATATAACCAACTGCTAGAATAAAGAATATTAGAATTAGCTAGGAAATGTATGGCCTCGCTATTCGTGAGTGAGTCGTAGCTAAAACTACTGCGGGCTCCTCTGAGTCCATTTAGCCGTTTCGCTTTATTCAAATGTCAATAAAATGGAAAAACAATGCTATTTGCCTTTTAGAATTTCCAACATTTAGCCAAATATTTTCCTGTACGTCCCTCTCACTCAGTCAATAAATACATAGTACGGCCCTGCTCGCTCAAAGCCGTACGGCCCTGCTCACTTTGCCCTGCCCATTTTCCCGAAGGTTTTTTTAAGAGCGCGCGCCGGGACAGCCGCTTTCAGTGTCGTCACGCAACGCTTTCTCCCCTGAGTAGCTACTCAGGAGAGAAAGCGTTGCGTGACGACACTGAAAGCGGCTGTGGGGGAGACTAGGACAGATACGGGTCAGATGATAAATGTACATACCAGCTCTTTTCTCTTTGCATCCTGATAATTATGACCTCTACTCAAAATGATCCAACAAACCCAAATATTCAAAAAGCCTGATTTGCGAAAATGTCCTTAGGATGATAGGATCATCTTGGACTGTTCTAAAATGATGCAAGTAGAGAAGTTATAGGGCCTATTTATAGGTGACATACTCCTGCTACTTTAGCCCATGCATTTTAATCCATGCCCTCATTTCAGCTTACTCGATTCTCTTCTCTTTCTCTCCTGTGAGGTTGGCTTTTGAGTTTTGATGCAAGCAAACTGCATGTAATGTTGGCAGTTTGTAATATGAGTTTTGATGTGTGTAGTAAGCTGCTGCCCACTTAGAAACCTTTTTGACTGCTTCTTCAACCGATGAGCCAAAAATGATAGCATATTCATACTATGTACTATACTCAGCGGTCTTCCGCCACACGAGTATATAAACAGTGAGAAACCACGTTCTGTACCCAGTTGCTACGTATGTTCCTCTTCGGTAGCTTGATTTTAACCTTGACTAAGTGCAATCTAGAAGGAAAAGTTCCCGTACTCCCAGTAAATCCAATAGTTGCCCAGCAGAACCAGGAAAACGCAAACCAAGACTCCCTACACCAGTACAAGGAGAAGTTGTGGTAATATTTCTGTTTTAATTAATATGTCGGTTTTTTTCGATACTTGCCGAGTTTCGCTAATGTTCGTAGCAGGATTAGCTGTCTTATCACACTTTAGCTCAACTTTCCTTACGGTGGCAGTAAATTTTCCTTGGTTTGTACGTTTTGTAGTTCTAATAGTAATGTTGCTAGTCAGTCGTTGGTCATAACCTTGTACTATATTTTGGTTGCCACTGTCACTTCTGGCCATTCGTTTTAAATATTTTCTAGTTGTGTTTGGTCATGAACTATTTGGCTCAGCGTTATTCATTGCTTTTTGTCAATGCTTGCTTTTTGGCCAGTTCTGTTTTATTCTGCACTCCGTGGTTCAATTTTGTTCAATATTTTTGTTTGTCATGAGATGTTTGGCTTAGCTTTATTCATGACTATTGTGTTTTACGCATGCAGTCTTTGGCTATGCGTTTGGTGTGATTTCACGTGCACTTTGTTATGCTGGCTTCGTTAAAAAATATTCAGAGGCAGTGTTTTGTTTTTCATGAGATGTTTGGCTTAGCTTTATTCATGACTTTTGTGTTTTTACGCATGCAGTTTTTGCTATGAGTTTGTTGTTCTTTCACGTGCACTTTGTTATGCTAGCTTCCGTAAAAATCTTTTCATGGCCAGTTGTTTGTTATGACATGTTGGGTTTTGGCGCTATTCAAAGCTTTTTTGTTTTACGACTGCAGTTTTGCTAGGCTATCACGTTTTTATGATGGCTTCGTTATATCTTTTCAGGGTCGGTTTTTGGTTTGCCGTGATATAATTGATCTTATTTATCAGGTAGATACCTACATTCAAGCAATAGCTTCAAGCTGAATTATAGCACAATAACCCTTTTCATAGTTTAAGAATCGATTCCACTGCGCATGCGATTTTATCCCGAATTTCTCACCTTCTTTTGTCTAAACCTTCTTTTGTTCTTAATTAAACAAAAGAAGGTAAGAAATTCGGGATAAAATCGCATGCGCAGTGGAATCGATTCTTAAACTATGAAAAGGCTTATTAAATCACACCCGACTGGGTTATGGTTATGCGCCATAGAAATTCGTTTGTTAAATTGCCCGTACCCCACGGCTCCGAGGTTTGACAGTCTTTTATAATGGGAGCCTTATTCCCTGTCGGTCTTCGTACGGGCGCATAAGTCTGTCAACCCTTGGGCCTCTCCCTCATTGCGTTTCCCTTAACGGTATCGCTCGTTTTGTTTCATTTTTAACATCCTCCCGCTAATCGTGCAAGGCTTTCATCTCCCCGGTGAGAATCCATTGGGTTCATCCCTTGGGTGCAGTCGAACGGGAAACCATTGCGGGCTCAAGGGTTGGCTGAAAACAATGATCACATTTCTGATGTTTTCGTGGAATCGGTCAGTTTAAGGGACGGAGTTTAAGGGATGGAGTTTTGAGGTTATGGATTTTAAGCATGTTGGGGCTTTTGTCTACGGGCGTAGTATCCTTTCCTCAAGCGCAGAGGCATAATGCCCATRCCTTAGCCCATACGAGTGGAAGGAAGACCACTGAGTATAGATTACTATTGACTGAGCGGGAGGGCCGTACGGGAAAATATTTTCCCGTACGGCCCGACCTAACTCAGTCAATAAACATTTTATCATATGACCCTCGCGAAAAGAAAAATATATAAAAAAAGAAGAAAGAAATAGTAAATAAAAGCTACAAAAGAGAAAGCGCGCGGATTCGAGCAGGGGCGTACGGATTCGTAAGACCCTGCTCGCTTAAAGCAAATGAAGAAGTGTCTCTTTTAAAACGTGTCACGGAAATATGCTGATTTTCAACATGAAGAGTTAAGAATGACTCTATATTTAAGCTTATTTTGTACACGGGAAATAGTGAGAAGTCCTGAATGTTGA